GCCCTATGAGTTGGCCCTGGAGGATGTGGAGGACCCTGGACAGGGTTCCAACTCAGAGCAGGGCGCAGAGAGGCTGGTTGGCCGCCAGGAGGCGCATGAGCCTTGGATCAGTGGGGAGGAGACAAGGGAGAGTGAGCCAGAAACCAACTGTGAGTTGTTCTGGGATGCACGCCGTTGAAGGGCTACTCGGTGTCAAGAACTACGTAATTGCAGGAGGTAATTACACTCAGCTGATGGTCATTAGGCTCCTCTCCAGACTATAAGAGAGACTGCTTGTGCCACGCACGTCTTGCAGAAGTCAACGCTTGGACTAAAGAGAAACGAACTTGGCAGGCTGGATTGTTGCCAGAGTTTGTCTGAATTGCTGCCAGTTTGTCGGCCTTGCTGCCAAGGTCCTTATCTGTTTGTTTATTTGGCTTTCAGCCACCAAGAGTCTGAACTTGTTATTAAAGGACATTCTCATTTAAGCTTGTCTCGGCATTTGTTACTGGACGGAGGAGGGGGTCAGAACACATAAGTATGTTAAATTCGTGTCACCTGTAATTACAATCTACTCCAATCAGTCCTATTTATGTAGATCTCAACCGAACCATTTTGTTTAAGTATTGTGCTGTGTTCAATGTTATTTTCCGGTTCTGGATGCACATAGAGTAAGTTGTTTTGATATGATGATCCCAATGGGTCCTTTGTTTGGTATATGGACCAAGGTAAATGTCTCTCACCCCCTTATACAAGCAACCATCCAATAGGATGTGAGCCAGGCCTTCTCCCTCTGCCGCTCCGCAAATGCAGAGACGCTCATTGTAGGATATAGAATGGAATCTCCCACATCTGACTGTTTTGTCAAGCTGTTCGAATCTCGCTCACGTAAATATCTCCCTAAGATGTTTTGCCAGTTGTAGCTTCAAATAGCTGCCTACTTGAAAAGTATGTTTGTATTGGCTCAGCCATTTCAAGGATACTAAGTCATTACTAAGGATAGCTATATCATTTTGTGCTTCTATATCCTAAATTCTTTGGGCAGCTCTTTTTTTGAATTGTTCTCCTGTTATGCAAGAGACAGGAAGGCCACAGCTTCTTACAAAATTTGTAAAGTTTGGTAATCCGGGAGATTTGTGGTTGTAATTTTATTAGCTCTAGAAGACATAATTTTTCATCTTTCAATAGAATCCCCTTATTTAGACTGGAGGCCAGGCAGAACATAAAACGCTTTACCTGCTTAACCATCTTACTGCTTTCTCTGCCGTACATACGCAATAAAGACCCCCAGTTTTTCACATGTGGGTGAAGCAGCTGAAGGATTTTCTGGGAAGCCAGTTGTTTTCCAACTCTTTTGTTCTTACCTGCAAAATCAAGGCAAGTTTAAGCATCACACTCATACAATAAACTTTTAGGAACTGGACACAGAAGTTGGATAAAAAGCTACTGCCTTGAGGAATCATACTTTTAAAGAAGATGATTCTACCCATTAAACTATCAACTTCGATCCTTAACAATTATGAGTGTTCAGGATAGGGAAGGCATTTATCTTACATAGTCAAAATGCTTGTCTTGTCATTACAAACTTATATTAAAAGTATTACAAAAAATTGCAGTTCCAGCATTGATGCAGATATAAATACTTCAAATATAAATACTTCTGTTTTTTATTAAAAACCGTAACTAAAATGATAATGTCTTGCGATTAAGAGATCAGTATACAGGAAATTCGGACAGATTAAACAAGAAAATCAACACCACCAAGAACGCTTACCGTATTTTTCGGAGTATAAGACGCACCTTTTCCCCTCAAAAAAGAGGCTGATATCTGGGTGTGTCTTATACATGGAATACAGCATTTTTTTGCCTCCCGAAGCCCCGCCCGCTTCACCAAAATGGCCATGCAGAGCCTGCAGAAGACTTTCAGAGAGCTCCTGGGGGCTGGGGAGGGCAGAAATGAGTGAAAAACGGGCTTTTTGGGGCTCAATCCCCTCAGCCCCTGGGAGTACTCTATAAGCCTCCTAAAGGCTATGCATGCAATTTTTTTGACAAAAACTGGGTCTGTTTTTGCAAAAAATGGGCTGTTTTTGCTCGTTTTTTTTGGGGGGGGCACCCACCCAGGAGCACTCTGCAAGCTCCCATACCTTTTTTTGGGGGGGGGGGAATCAGGCCCGTTTTTGTGAAAAACAGGCTGGTTTTGGGAGGTTTGCAGAGTGCAAAAACCTTTTTTAAAAAAAATTGCCTCTTCAAAATCTTAGTGCATCTTATACTCCGGTGCGTCTTATACTCCGAAAAATACAGTATGTTCTCAGATGGAAAGTGGCATATCAATCTAATAAACAGATTTTCCATACATTTTCTTAGTAACTGTTATACTTACACCACCCCCGCACAGTATGCTTCCCACAAGTCATAACATATTCACTCTTCTGATTTTTGCCAGGAATCACTTCAAATTTTATGGATGTATCACCCATGCCATGATTTCTGAGGGACAAATTAAATACTGTTAGAAGCTCTCCATATTTAAGAAGTCTGGGTTTATTGATTACAAATGTCATTTTTTTTTGTAAAATAAATGTTTGCATCAAATCTGGATGCCAACATAAAATAACATTCAGCTAAAACAGTGTTCATAATTTTCAAAGGACAAAAATGTTACTGGTTTTTACTGCATGTGGTAAGCAAATTGTCCCAGTTCTGGAGTCTGCCTAGCCCGTATCTGTAACAGGTAACTAGATATATAAAAACCAAATACCACTCACTCATCACAAAATCTCCACAACCGTAAAACCTACAAACCTAAAATTTGGCATATATGTTCCTCTTGAATTCTAGATGCTCACCAAGAAAGGATTTTTTGAAATAACCATCAGATCATTCATATTTCTTATACAGTAATTAACATGCTCTGATGCTATGGAACACGGGTCAGTCCTGGAGGCTGGGGAAGGCTCGGACGAGGGCTCTGCGTCGGAGGCAGAGATGGGACCAATGCCGTCTGACAGTTCTCAGCTGCCTTTGGAACTAGACAGCAGTGAGGCAGAGGAACAGCTGGAGCCTGTTCCCACTGTGCACATGCACAGAGCTGCCAGAAGTAAAACAACAGCTAAGGAACAAGGGTTGAATTGAGAGTAAAGCCACAGGTAGAAGGTGAATGGCCTCCCATAGGAAATAAAAGAGGAGCGAAAGGGGAGGGGGCTTTTGCAGGAAACAATTCGGTCATTAGATTCCTTTCAGGAGTGTGAAGATCTGTCTGTGAATCTCAGAGACTTTGTGCTGACTTTCCTTGCACAGCACCTCATTTGGAAAATATGTATATGGCAGCTTTCTAAGATAGATAAGGTCTGTGGTCATAAATATTCCTTTGAAAGACTGTTTGCCAGGCCTTGGCTGAATGTGAATGAGAGGAATTCACATTTGTTTAATAAAAGGGGTTTCGTCGGGACCAGGAATCGGCTTCGTGCTTTTTGGGGAAGTCTAGGTCAGAACACAGTCGTCATGTTTTAGGAACCATTTCTAGGTTCTCCCAGATTAAAGAGAGGAATAAAGAACAGACGAAGCTATTCCACAAAAAAGAAGGAAAGAATAAAATTATGTAAGCCATGCAAAACTCACCTTTTAAGGCACTCATGAAGAATCTGATACGGAGACAGGAGTCCAGCTTTACTGGTCAGTTCGTATACCCGCGAATCCTCGATACTGATATGGTTAAAATACTACAACAAAATCGGTAAAACTTAACGGTAGAAAGAACTTTTAAAGCTTTTGTGGGGAGAGCTCTAGTTGTTCTGCGGTTGTAGTATTAATGAGATAAACAAGGAAAGATTTAAGAGAACAAAATAAACAGAACAAAGGAGCTGTTTGCCTTCGCGTTGATTTTGATAATCATGATTGTAATTACCAGCAAAGAATACGGGTAGTCCTCGACTTGCAACATTTAACTTAGTGACCATTCAAAGTTGCAAAGGCACTGGAAAAAGTGACTTATGGCCATTTGTCACACTTATGGACCGTTCCAGCACCCCCAGAATCACATGCTTTACATTTGGATGCTTGAGAACTGATTCACGCTTACAACGGTTGCAGTGACCCTGGGATCATGTTGTGGCCTTCTGACAAGCAACGTCAGAAGGGAAACAAAATTCACTTGACAGTTACTACTTTTAACAACTGCAGTGATTCACTTAACAAATGTGGAAAGTCATAAAATTGGAACAAACTCACTTTAACAAATGTTTTACTCAACAACATAAATTTTGGGCTCAATTGTGGTCGTAACTCAAGGACTACATGTACGAGCTAAGGGTTATATTTCACATTGGGGTTCAAGGAAGCCACTGTATGAGCAGGGTCCAAAATTTTGTTTTAGTCTATCTATATGTTTTCCAAGTATTTCAATAACATGCTGAAAAACAAGAAAGGGAAAAGGTGTTCTCGAAGAGATACATCTAAGCTTATTAAACCAGGGTCCGTGACTTATACTGAAGTTTATCTTGGCTTATTAATCTAAGACATTACCATCCAAATATAGCCACCAGCTCAGTGAGGGGTGGGATTGAAAATTTTTAGCAATAGATTCTCTGCCTGGTTGCTGGGTGGGTGCGGCCACGGAGGTGTGGCCTAGTTGGCTTCCTGCACACGGGGAGGGTGTTTTCACCGTCCCCAAGCCCTGGAGGCTTTCCTCGAGCCTCTGGAGGGCAAAAACTGCTTTACCCGGGCTCCGGAGTCCTTCTCTAGTTAACTCCTTCCACGGGCAGAAGGAATCGAAGCTAAAAGGAATTTAACAAGCGAAGACTCAGCTGTGAACGTACCTCTAATTCCTCACTATCTTTGGGCTTCTCCTCAGAGGTTTGCTTCACAAAATCAGGGATGAGGATTTCCAGAGTAGCTCGTGCTGGGAAAAAAAAAATTTGAAATGAAAACCACATGTGCATTTTATCAAGAATGCCAAGATGCATCGAACAATGTTTTCCTCTGTTGAATTTGTATTTTACTGCCAAAGAAATAAAAGGAGACTAGTATAGGTCTATTTCAAGCTATTTAGCTCTCATTAGCTAGCCATAGCCTTCTGGGATTCGAACCTGGGCTACTTGCATATTAGGTAGATGAATTAAACTCTAAGCAACAGGTTCTCCTTGATTTGTTGGTTATACCAGGGGAAAGATTAAGTGTTTTTATCAGGACAACCAGGTCTACCCAATTAAGGCCCCATTTTCCTTCGTTTTTAGTATGGTGAAAAGGTTTCCAAGTTGGGAAGTTTATTTATTGTTTGTATTTTGTATTTCGTAGCTGCCCTTCTCCCTCAGAGAGGGGCCTCTGGGTGGTGAAGTTGCAGAAACACCTTTTGAGAGAAAAGCCTGTGGAAAATAAATGCCAGATATATCAGTGCTAAATTCCCTGTGCTCCTCTGCCAATTCTACGCACGCTAATGGTCGAGCAATGGTTTCAGTTGCTAGCCAGATGGACTGCGAATCCCAGAATGGAATTGCTTAAGTGCCACAACTGTCTTGCTGCAAATTGCAGTATTACTTGAATCACTTAAATTGCAGTGGTTTAAACAGCAAGCAGTAGTTGCGTTCTTTTCATCTGAAATCACAATCTTGAATAGAATGTAACCCCCAGAATTCAGCTCTATAGAGAAAGTGATACAGGCACTCCTTGAGTTACGGCCACCACTGAGCCCAGTATTTCTGCTAAGTGAGACTAAATTGTTAAGCAGATTTTGCTCCATTTTATGTCCTTCCTTTCCACCGTTAAGTGAACCACTGCTGCTGTGAAGTTAGCAACACAACTGTTAAGTGAATCTGGCTTCGCTATGGACTTTGCTTGTCAGAAAGTCGCAAAAGGGGACACCATGATCACCAAGCATCTGAATTTTGATCAGGTGACCATGGGGATGCTGCAACAGTCGCTAAGTGAGAAAAGCAGCTATGTCACCTTTTTCCCAGTGCGATTGTAACTTTGAACAGCCACTAAATGAACTGTTGTAAGTCGAGGATGACCTGCACTGCATTTCAATCACACGTGTCAATTTCACACATCACGCGTTTGTGTTAATTTCTCTCTATGCTAGCCCAGCAAATGCTGATGAGAGCACAAATTGCGTGTAGAATCAGAACTGAGGAACCCATTTTCTGAGAATGCTAATTTCCTTGACTCCACTAATCATCCATAGATCTAGATCAGGGGTCCCCAACCTGTGAGCACCCTCTCCCTCCCTCCCATCGTCAGTCTGCAAAGCCAGGAACGTTGGGGAACTCTGATCTGGATAGCTTTACTTACCAGCTTTATTCTTGGCAAGTTTTTTGCTACTGGCAGTCCCTGCCCCATAAGTCACTCCATCAATAATAACTGATGCTCCAAAAGGCTCACTTGGGTTCTCTTTAAAGAGAGGGAGAAAAATCAAAATATTTGAAGTCCCATCTCACCCCATCAAGACAGAGAAGCTCATGTTTAGCATACTTGACGATTACAAGGGCTATTCAGTTAAAGAATGAATGTATGTTTCCTTTATATTGAACTATAACATGTTACTGTTTCTTTATTCCACCCCCACTATGCATTGCGTTAACATTCTTGCATGTAAATATATTCAGAATAACAGGGGTTTTTATAGAGTTTTCCAGAAACATAGCTCAAGAATGAAGGCGAATACATAGTCTGTTTCCTGGGATGATGTTTCAGGATCCAATCTGGATCAGTCACTGGGACCAGAGGTTTCAGAGTCATGCTGGAGCCCATCCTCAGGGAACTTCTCTCTACCAGAATGTGTGCTTTGGGCTATTCTATGCATAGTATTGCTACTAAGATTGTTGGCTGAGCAGGGACAAAAATAGCCAGGGAAATTTTTGAAGCCTGGGAAATCGAGGTGGCGCAGTGGTTAGGGTGCAGTACTGCAGGCCACTTCAGCTGACTGTTATCTGCAGTTCAGCGGTTCAA